TGGTTTTTCCCAAAAAGAAATTTCATGTAACAAATCTCTCAACTAATTCGCTTCCTCGCATGCTGAAGCTAACGCTATAAGCTCAGCTTCCATTGTAGAATTAGCCATTATCGTCTGTTTTTTAGACTTCCAACATATAGCACCACCACCCAAGGTAAAAATAAACCCGAGGTAGAGAGAGAATCACCTGACAAAAGTGTTTCAATCGGCATCACATATCCCTCAAGTACCGCAAGGATACTTGTTATAAAACAAACGTAATTTTTTGTTCCAAATAAATATCTCATAATTCTTCCCATGGCTAGCCAATGATCTCGACTTGTTTGCTAGTAAACCTGCTAAGTACTTCCAACAGCATATGCAATGTCAGGTCTAGTACAGTAAGTAGCATATCTCAAACTACCAATCATGCTAGCATATTCCTTTTGCTTAATCACTTCTTTTTCATTTGTTACAACAGATAAGTGTATGCTTGCATCAAAATGAGTAGCAACATGTTTACAGTCTAGAAAATTATATTTCTTTAACATTTTCTCAACATAATGCGACTGATCAAGAAAAATGCCATCCTTAGTCTTAGTAATTTTAATTCCCAAAATAAAATTAGCTTCACCCAGATCTTTCATATCAAAGTGGCTATTAAGCATATTTTTAGTCTCATTTATAATATGCAAATTAGAGCCAAAGATAAGTAGGACCATCCACATATAGACTAATAATCACATGTGCATTCTCACAAGTTTTATAATATATGCACTTATCACATTCATTAGTCTTATAGCCATTCTCAAGCATGCAGGAATCAAATTTCTCATGCCACTGTTTAGGAGCTTGTTTAAACCATAAAGGGATTTAGTTAGCTTACACTTTGCTTCTTGGCCAGGCTCCACAAAGCCTTCAGGTTGGTCCATGTAAATCTCCTCATCTAGATCTCCATTTAAAAATGCTGTTTTTACATCCATTTGATGAATTTTTAAATCATGAATTGCAGCTACTGCAATCAAACAGTCTAATGGATGTTACTCTTAGTAACCGGAGAAAAAGTATCAAAGAAATCAAGATCAACTTGTTGCTTAAAACCTTTAGCGACAAGCCTCGCTTTATATTTATCTATAGTTCCATCCGGTTTAAGTTTTTTACGAAGGACCCATTTACACCCAATAGTTTTACAACCTGGAGGTAAATCCACTAACTTCCATGTTTTATTTGAAAGTAGTGAGTCTATCTCATCATTTACAGCCTCTCTCCAGAAAATAGCATCAGGTGATAATAAAGCTTCTTGTACCGTATGAGGAATTTCTTCCACATTGTAAAGATAATAGTCAGGGCCAAAATCTTTTTCAACTCTAGCTCGTTTACTTCTTCTTGGTTGAATTTGAAAATTTTCTTTTTCTTGAAAAACTTGAGAAGGAGTAGAAGAGCTAGGCATAGATAAAATATTTTCAGATATTATTTGACCCCCACTATTTCTAGATTTGAAAGGAAATTTGTTTTCATGAAAAATAGCATCACCTGATTCAAAAATAATATTATTTTCCATATCAAAAAATCTATAAGCTGTACTATGCAACGCATACCCAAGAAAAGCATAAGTCGTAGCTCGTTCACCCAATTTAGGTTGTTTAGGATCTGCAAGCCTCACAAAAGCTAAACAACCCCAAACCCTCAAAAAACCTAGATTTGGTTTATGCCCCCGCCACAACTCATAAGGGACAATTTTAGTCTGTAAAGCTTTCCAAATTTTCTTTACGAAAGTGTAAGTGGTGTCATAGTAATAATCATAAAATTGATCAGCAAGTAAATTAAGAGATAAAAGCGACATTTATACTCATCTGTAATATAAGAAGCCACTTTTGCTTCATGTGCCTCATAGTCTTCATCATTCATCTCCTCGGTTGGTATTTTGTTCGGATTCTTTTCGGTAAGAACATATGCAACTTTCAAAAGGTTAAGGTAAAAAAGAACTTTTCCTTTCCACCTCTTAAAATGAACTCCTTTGAACTTGAAAGGTTTGTTGAGATCTCCAATTCCATCATTGGTTTTTTCTAGTACTTGTTCCATGGTTGATCTCCTTAAAATTGTTGGAGAAAATACCAGAAACTAAACTATATTATTGATAAATGATGCAAAGAAAATGAGATACAAATAGATCAGGCTGAGGCACGGATATCTCGTTTTCTTTAAGGAGATCAAGCCCACTGCGGTAGGAAGAATCCAAATACCGATGCAGCAGTCACAACACTGTGACTTGTCCCCTCCAGGATACAACAGCCCGACCACTTGTCGTATGGTTCAGGCCAACTCTTCACAAGATGATGAACCCAAAGCTCCACCAATAAAACACCCTTCTTGCTAGTAATCTCTCTTGTATAGAAAATAGTAGACTATATATAGGCTATAAGGACCTTACAGTTACACCAAAAATAATGACCATCACACAAGAAAATGGTTACACCAAAATAATGACCATTAACCAAGTTCATGAATTCTATTTAACCTCCATTTATGACCAAGAGGTTACCAAAGTAATAAAACCCCATTTATGAAAAAGATAAACCAATAAATAAATACAAGATATTAAAATAGTCCAACAATTCATACTTCAATCTTGTCTTATCCAACCATTTTATTCATTATAAATAAATAAAAAATGTCATTTTACGAGTGTCGTGAAGTTCCAATGAATCCAAATGATATTGTTTTTTGTTTGTGTTTATAATATGAGAAAAGATAGGGATCATGAAAAAATTTTCATGAAACTGATCATGAAAAATTTATGACCTTTGGATTACCTTGATTAGTGTGTGATGTTTTATTTTAAGTGTAATCCAAAAGTTATAAATATTTCATGATTATTTTCATGAAAGTTTTTTCATGATACTTAGTATTGCTCTTATAATATTACTCTTTCATTGCTTAATTAGCTCGTAAGCACTGAACACAACTAATCATCCCACCCATACATAGTGCACATATATTTACTTATTTATTTATATACAAACAACGGCACATGCATGAAAGAGGGAGTTAGTGAAGCATGTGCATATGTGTAAGTGTACACTTTGAGCAAGTTAACTGTGAACAAAGGCAACTCTCCATATATATATATATATATAAGAAAAATGTGTTTTTTTTTTTTTTTTTTTTTTTTTTGCTTTGGACTTTTGCTTGGAACTACCAAACAAAATTGCAAGCCATTATGATTTCACAAGTCATGCCCTCTCATGGGCCAAACTCAACTATAGCTTGTTCATAAAGCTTTGTAGTTTCTTTGACAAAGACATAACATATGAGGGAGAGAGAGGAGAAGGTGCATGTTTGGCTTTATTGGAGAGAGGAAGGAATGTTTGGTATAGTTTTAGTTTACCATTTAAGGGATAAAAATTTAATTAAGTTAAATAAAGTTGATTATCGAAAGGTTAGTAGAGAGATTTCTTAAGCTCAAAGTTGATAATTAAAAAACACAAGTTATAAGTGCTCCCCAACTTCTAGATAATTATATTTTTTTTCAACTTATCTAAGTTATTTTTACTTTATAAGTTATAAGCTAAAGGTGCACCAAATATTTTAAGTCAAACTGTCAAATTTATAATAACACTTAATTTAAAAAATTAAAATACAAGTTTCACCAAAGAAGGTATTTTGGTTGTTGGTTTCAAATTATCAACTTTTAATTTATAAAAAAGTTATAACTATAAAGCGAATTCTCACATCACCCGAATATGAAAATAATGTGTAATATATAAGCGTAAGGGTACTCCAGCTCTAATACCATAATTATGTAACATAATATTAAATTCGAAGTACCCCTAACACTTGTGTATTATTTTCATATTTAGGTGATGTACAATTTCACGACATCAACCCATGCCAACCCTTTTCACTTGCTTATCTAGGTTGATGATTTGTATGTTGGCAAAGAGAAACTAACAAGAATGATTGTTTGGGGGCAACATGTAGCTTTTGAGTAAAGCTAATTATGCTAATCCATGAACACATCCACATCAAAAAGTCAAAACAAAAGCCCAAAATGAGTCAAACCCCACTTGTTAGGTTAAAAAAAGTACAAGGAAGACATTAAAAATGAGATGGTATTCATGAGGGATGTATAACTTGTGGCTAAGTGGAGATACCACTTGGAGTACAATTTGACAAAGCTCAAGAAGTGAATTGTCGCCTCCCTTTTGTGTGCTTTTTGTGGTTTTTTTATTTTTGGGAGGAATTGTTGACCTTGCTTTTATGATAATTGGTGCAATGTAAAGTCACAATCAATTGTCAATTTGAAAATCCAAGAGAATTTTAATAAGTAGGCATCCCAAATATGATCTATCCACATTTCATTGCTTGGCCAAAACAAGGAAATTTAGTGCATGCCTATAATTCATTTTGTTCATTTTTTTCTTTTAAGAATAAATATCAGTAAACTCAATTTTAACATAATTATAATCTAAAAAACATAATTATATTGTACTCCATTGAAATATAAATTTCAAAACACATCAATTTACACCGTTGATCAAATAGATGAAAATGATAATATCATCATTTTTAAGCCTAAAATGAAAGTTTACCCTTCCTTATGTTTATGTCCAAATATCAAAATATTATTCGGTGCCGATGAGACACCTTGTGACACAAGTAACACACTAATCACAAACCATTATATCATCAGGTGTTATCAACAACAGGTCAGTGCAAAAACCAAAACACAAAAGAGATGTCATTTGGGACAAATGTTCAGTGTTTACTAAACTACTAACACTTAGACAGGATATAAAAATCACATCAGAGACGGCACTAAAAAGTATAGTTTTAAACAGAATTTAATGGTATACGATTATTTTTTAAACACTCTAATTCAACTTGATAAATGTATATGCAATGCAATGCACTATAAGACTGTATAAAGAACTAAAATACACGAGCCCAGCTCATGATTGACTTAATTAAAATTCTTTTAAAATTGGCTCAAAAAAAAAAAAAAAACCAACAACAATCAAATCACCAACAACCAAACCAAACTTGAACGCATTTCTAAAACTTGTTAGTTCAAATCAAGTTTTAGCAACTCACTACTCAGCTCAACTCTGTAGATTTACAACCCTCCTAAAAAGTAGGTTTTATTGTTCCATTGAGAAGAAGAAAAAAAATTCCCCTACTTTTGGAACCAAAAATGCTGTTGTACAAGCAGCATCAACACCAGACTAGCTGCCACATTTTCAAGCTATGCCAACTTTATCTAGCCAAAACCAAAATAGTTCTGGACTGGACTTACATATGAAATGTTTACATTATGCAATTTCAATTTTAAGGACACAAAGAACTAATGTAAAGCTCTATGAATTCTCCCTAGCCACCATGTGAAAGAAAGCACGCTCAATTTTCCGTACAGGAAATTCACTATGAAATTGTTCATTTCGATACCAAATGATTAATACCCAAGAAGTAACCTCCCACAATCACGAATGATGCAATTCCACTTCGAGCCATCCGCAAACCAATGCCACGAAACAAAATATTCCTATCCGCAGGGTGGATTCCTGTAAGTCGCTCAAACCTCTTCCCCGGTAGCCTCCATTTGAGAAGCCTCCTCTCCATGGATATATACTGCAGTAAACAATCCAAATAATGATCATGGAAATGCAATGTATAGTTATGAGCAACCTGTACATTTTTTTTATTTTTTATTTTTTATTTTTTGATTGGCAAAAAAGGAGACTAATATTAATAAAGGAAAGGATTACAAGAGAACAGGAACACAAGAATTTCTCCAAATAAGAAAAAAGAAAACTAAACAAAGTTCCAAGTTACATGTCACACACTGCCCTCTAACCCCTAGAAATCAAAAGGGATAACCCCCCAAAAAGTGAAGAAATCGAAGCCCAAAAAAAGTAACAAACTCTATTCCACAAGACATTAACATCCTCTGTCGTGCATCCATGCATTCTTGCATTTTGCTCCAACCCAATAACTCGAAAAATTGCACAAAAGAAGCAGTCTCACAGCACTAATATTTAGGGAAACAAAGGGCAACATTTATGACCAAAAAAAAAAAAAAAAAGATACCATTATTTATAAGCATAAAATGAATCAAAGCTTGCTCCACCAGGGACCACCGTTACTCTCTTCTCAAATTAGGATAAACTCTTCAGGCTTGGACATTTTTATTTTTCACTGGACTATGCGATGGAACTTGAACCCTGGCGTCCACCCCTTAGTAGCACAAATAACATGGTTACACAAGACAATGATTTGCATAGCTCTGACTATGCCTCTCCTTTTTTTTTGGTTCCTTTTTTGGGGCTAGGCCATACCATTCATAAGACACATTGTTCCAGATGTACCTTGTGCTTTGCATAAAATGTCTCATTCATGATATAGCTTCCAAAATATATATGCCACAACTCCCACACCCTTAAAGACGCAACTGGGGAGTTGGGGAAACATTTCAACTTCTCAGTCTATTACTGAAATAGGATTTGGACATCAAATACATAATACTAAGGCCAAGTTTGGCATCCTTCAAAAAATCTAAAAAGTCAAAAAGTCACTATCTTATTTGAGTTACATCATCTTATTTAAGTCACATCACATCTCTAACACATCACTTCAAACCCAACCCAAATCCAACCCATATTTCATAAAAAGTCAAAAAGTGCACTTATTTAGTCTTCCCAAACTTGGCCTAATTTAGCAAAAATAAGAGTTCTCCTGTAGATACCCAAGTACAGCTGTTCATAAAGATTCCATTGAAGGGACCCTATGGTAAACCTAAACATGGCCTAAACTACTAACAGAATTGATCATAGTTGTGAAGTGACCAAATTGTAAATGAATTTAAATTCCCACAACCTTTTATACTATGTTTGTATGTCATAATTTTAGAATTCACACTTTCATTCCACTTCTAAATTGACCAAGTTCAGTTCAAAGTTGAAGTTTCAAATGAATACTGAATAATTTGCCATGAGGCATCCTTCAGATATCAGTTCTACATTTTGCCTTGATGTTGATGGAGAAAAGCTACCATTAACCAGAATTGGATGCATCATGCAACTTGTGATGACAAGAATTCTAGAGTTCATGAAGAAAATAAAACACAATTGTGTGACAACATTGTGGTCGACCCAGACAGCAGTTATTGACTACAAATGGAATCGGACTTCATTCTGATGAAAAGACACTGAGGTTGAAAGTACAATTTATACAAACAACCAAGATCCTAACATATACAGTTAACTAAAGATAATTTAATGCATGTCTTTCTCATACAAGTAAAATACCTTGGGCAGCACAATACATTGTGATCTACTTTTTGCAGTGTCAAAACAATGAGATGCAGCGGCAGCAACTGATCCAGAAAAACCAGCTGCAAGACTAACAGCAAGAGGAGACAATGGACCAATTTCTTCATCAGACCTGCTTAAAAACAAGCACATTTTGAAGAAAGTATATATATATATATATAGAGAGAGAGAGAGAGAGGGAACAGTAAAAAGAGACTAATACTTCACGTGCTGTGCCAACAAATTATTGTACATCCATGAGTTATAAAACTACATAAATAGATAGATTTTAGCCAGGAACACTCGTTTTTCAATGATCTAATGCTCTACCATTACAAGGATATTACAGAATTAGCTTGCTCAGGATAAGAATTTAAACAAACAATTGCTCAAACAACATGAAAACAGACTGAGGCACTATAATAAGTGGTATTCATCAGAAATTCACAAGCAAGAGCATAGAAAAAAAAATAATAAAATAGCAATTAAGGAATTTCAAGACGAGAAAACAGAACACCTCTAAGTCACAACCTAACCCACATCCCTAATTGAAAACAGCATGGAGAAAGAAATGACAGACACAAAATCTAACTATAGCATTACACTTACACTAAAACAATACCAGGGATGAACAATTTTTTCTTTACGGTTGAACAAAGATGATAATGTGAAGGAAAAGGGCTATTGTAACAACAAAATGAAAATAAATAAAGGTCCTGCAACCAGGAAGTTCATAGCATAAAAGGCACAATAAGGTCTTGTAATAACACTTGTAGAGGACTAACAATGAGTAGTTACCAAAAGATACAAATGTGAAGGGGAAGAAATTAAAATAGTTAGATAGACACAAGTTTTGACAGCAACCCCCTAACTCCTCACAAGTACAAATAAGGCTAAGCACAACAAGTATCATGCAATAAAATCTCATTGGGCAGACTACTGAGGGGTGCATGCTAAAACCTGGGTGAAGGATCCATATCAACTGCTTTCCAGTCAAGCATTGCTCGATGTAAAAATTGCCAGCTTGAAAAGAATATGCCACCAAAAATGGAGTCCCGAACTACTCCTGACCGGAGATCTCTCCATAAAGCACCCCATCCTTCCAAAGAGATGATGTCTAATGGCCTTCTAACATCGCAGACAGAAGGTGGCCTGCCAGATCCAGTCATCATCCATGGGTACTCTTTTAGGCCACCAATTATATTAGGATGCTTGGAGGTAAGAGTGGACAAAAGGCTAACAGAGTGGTTCAATGTCCTCATGTCAGGTGAATATCCAGGTAATAGTCTTGCAAGCAAAGGTGAAACAGCAGTCCTTGCTGTAACAGTGTCAGAACTCGGAATGCGAGAAGCCGAATTCACCTGTGCACGAAGTTTAATAAGTTCAAATGGAGAGCTTACAACTGATTCCACAGCACCAGCTGCAATTCCTGCCATAAAGGCCTCAGAGACATGCACATAATTGTCTTCTCGACCATCTGCAAGGACAATATGCATATTACCACTTAAGGGGTTGAAAACGAAAGGTTGAATGTTTAGCAAGAGACCAATCAACTATCCTTATTAATTGGATGTTCAGCAAATGTATATCCACTATCCCTATAAAAATGCAGTAAGTCATTCATGCAACAAAGTCAAAATATGGCTTCCTACTCTCACAATGCACAAACACACCCACACCACGTACACATACACGCACATCCACACAACAGGGAATGTCCAATAACTAATGGATGAACAACTTACAATTCCATTTAAATTTGACTATCCTAATTATCTATACAATTATCTCTGTAGTTATTCCTGTCTTGGTAATTGTCTCTCCACTCTCTCTGAACCATGTCATTCTCTTGCTTGCTACCTTAAAATTACCTATCCCCTCAAAGGAAAATGGATTTAAATTGAACAACCCAACTCAACAAACCCATTAATTTTCCAAGTACATATTCACCAAACACTAAGCAAACTATTCGAGCTTCCATGTGCGTGAATGTGGATTCGGTCTCTATCCAATTTAACCCTCCTAAGCTCCCAGCACCCTCGATTATTGAGAACCAACACTCGGGACAAGTAGAATTCAAATTATTTTGCAAAATATTTAAAGAATAAGTGCCTGTCATTTCAGTTTAGAACCTTTCCTCCTTATTTTTCCCCTAGGTTTGCTCATCTAACGAAACAGATTAAGAACAAACACAATAACTTCTAACTGCACATAGAATGAAGAATATACCTTTATAAAAAGCTGTCAAAATTTCATAAGTACCAAAGCGAGCGCCAGCACCTAAAATCCTTCCCAACATTAACCACCCAAAACCACTGTACAAACCTACAATGTTCATTGAAGAGAATATTCATTTAACTAGCAGTAATAAACCAGAATCATAAATAACTTAAGCTCACATGTAGCTGTTAACCTTATCTACATGACTCATTGCACTAATGGAAGCTCAAGCAAGACAATAAGTTAATCGAATTACCTGCATGTCCTGATAAAGTTTTAACTCTATCAAGAACCTGAGCTGTAGTCAGCTGTTTATTAGAAACTGACCCTACCTGTTATTTTCTCCACCACAACAAATAAGCATCAATATTAGAAACAGATAGTCATATGCTAACAAACAGTTCCAAAATCAACACCAACATGCATACGCACACACATATGAGCATACAAATGCAGACAGAGGTTGGTTTCAAACTTCGAACCTGTATAAGGACTTTGATAGTATCAAGAGGGTAAGTGAGGGCAGTGCCCAATGTGACTGAACCTGCAGCAGCAACTGCATGTGTAGCAAACATCTGGTTCTTCATCAGTTCTTCCATCTGAAAGATTTGCACAAATGTCAAAAACAACTAGGCAGTCCACAACCTGAAACTGAAGTTCTGAAGAGTCTTTATATCAGATTCAAACAGTTTTTTGGAGATCCAATTTCTTCTATCTTCATATGGTTACAGAAAAGTACCCTCAAACCTCAATGCATACATTGAGCACTCACAATATGTAAAGACAGAAAAAAATATATTAATCATAATTCTCAATGTGTGTGCATCCAACATGCTTCCAACTACATATGCTTAAAATTTAGCTCTATATGAATTTGCAATTACATGGTAAATATGAAGAGATACCGGGTCTGACCAGATTTTATAAAAGACGGAATATAGGAATTACAGCTGTGCAAGTGAACCACACTGAAAATAGATTTGGAGCTTAAATTCTATAGTTGGAATTTGGTGTAGTTTTCAACAGTTGGTAATCGCTAAAAACAAAGAGAATCAAACTACCAATCATGTCAAAATGATGTGGCAACATCATGAAAAGCCCGAAACAGATTATACCTGTGATATAAGACGGTGGAAACTAGAGTTCAAATGGCAAAGCCTAGAACGCAAAGGTTTGGAATTTCTGAGACTAAAGTCTGGTTTAAATACCCAGGGGTGCAGAGATTGTTTCAAAATCACCTCGGCTTGAACTCTGTATAGCAGCCCCATAGGTTGAGTTAGCTTTATGCTCTTCGATTCTGGATAGCGAATCAACCTAGTCTATCAGCCTGTTGCAGAATAGGAAAAGTTACAAATATTGTTAGGGAGAAAAGTAGTACCCGTGGTTTTCGCATGAAGATTATACCTTCGTTGAGCATTTAGATGTTTTTGAAGTGCTATTTTTATTTTAGATGTACAATGAAGGTAGAAATGGTTTGATTTTTTTTTTGGGTTGTAATTGGGTTTGTAAAAAAAAAAAAAAAAAAAGGTGTGTGGACTTGCAATTTGGTGCAAGGGAGAAAGGGTAGCTAATGGGTAGGAAAAATGGGAAAAACAAAATATTGAAAAAGAAAGGTAGTAGCCGATATGGGTACAAGAGTAACTGAATGGGCATGAACAAATAAAGTACAAAGTTGGGATTTTATCAAACAGTTGGTGGGCTAGGCTTGTGATCAGTTGTCGCACACATTGACATAGTAGGACTAGGACAAAATTGCGAAACACAATGTATGAATACGAAAACAAATACTCGTTGAACTCAAGTATGAGAGAGAGAGAGAGAGAGAGAGAGAGAGGTGCCTGGTCACCTGAAATGGACGAATCTGCCGTGAATGGCAGAGAACGAGTCTCCACCACTGCTATCTGACCTCCCTGTGAATCGCAACTTCTTCTTCGTCTTCTCTCTCTCTCTCTCTCTCTCTCGCGATGGTGGAGGAGACGCAGCGGCGGAGGAGGGGCTCGCGGTGGTTGGAGATGGTGGTTCTTATCCCTCTCCTTCTTCTTCTTCTTTCAAATCTGAAAACCCTAGGTTTTCATCTCTCTTCTCTCTCTATCTCTAGCACTGGATGGGGCGGGAAGTTGGGTCGCGACGGCGGTGGGGAACGCAGATGAAGGGGCAGTTGCGGCGGTGGGGACGCATGTATCATTCGAATTTTTATTTTTATTTTTATTGGAGTATAATAAAATTTAAAAATTCAAAATATTACACTTACATTTTTCTAATTTTTTTTTTTTTTTTTTTGGAGTAAGTCATATTATAACCAAAAAAAGAAAAATATACAATGAAGTTCAACACACAGCTTTTGATGGGAGCACAAAATAAACAAAATAAACTACTCCATCAAAAACAAACTGAGCTTATAGAAAACAAGCACAATATTCCCAACAAACACAAGGATTCAGAATTTTCTTCTAGCATTCTTCAAGTCATGAAGTTTCGCTTTAAGTTTTATTCTGTTATCCTCTTTTGAAGTCTCCCCATAACTAGGATCACTTGGAGATGGACTCCCTCTATTTCTCAACTCTTGACTTGAATCTCCATTTCCTAACTCGTCCATATCACACGATTCAAGGACATCAAAGGCATTAGATGTTGAGGGGATAGAAGACTGCGTCTCTCTCTCTTTGTTGATCAATGGCGTTGAACCTTGCCCACCATCTCTCCCCTTTTTCTTCACCACTTCCCATTTAGTTGGAATTTGTGTTTTAGTGTCCTTGACTCTCCACTCATGTTTGAAGGAGGGAGGGTTTAAAGACTTTGGCTTTTGAGGGCACAAATTAGTGGTATGGCCAAAAGTCTTACAACCATCACACCTTTGGGGCTTCCCTGGTACCTCAACTTGAATCTCATATGGGTCACCATAACCAAGATTTATTTTGAAAGACTTAGGGATCTCTTTATTTGCTGGCACTTCAATACAAATTCTCGCAAACGTAAGTCTGCTTCTCTTGAAAGTTGGCTCATCCAAATAAAGAGGAGTTCCCAAGATGCTAGCTATGTAACCCAAACCCTCTTCACTCCAAAGTTCCAAAGGAACATTATACAACTTCACCCACAATGGCACACTTGAAAATTCACACTTTGTTAGTTTTAGTCCAGGTTGCCATTTTTTAATAACAATTAATCTAGCCCCAACATAATAGGGGCCATCTTCCAAGATTGTGTCCATAGCCTCTTCACTTTTTACTTTAAAAATAAAAAAACCATTGTCAATGGAGACCACGTCCTCAAGCAAATTTCCCCAAAGTTTCTCCGCCCAAGTTTTCACATAATGGAAAGAGAATCTTTTATCAATGAAGTATCCAACCAAAGCATTGTCCCAATGAGAAAAGCCTTTTTTTGAGATCTCAATAAGGACATTGTAAATGCCATCTACTTGGTTCTCAATCTTATGGGCACCTATTTTATACTTCAATTTTGACACCTTGTTAATCTCTTCTTTAATTAAAGAGCTCCCAACTTGTAGAGGTTTACCTGATATAGCAAGTGTATCCAGACCTTCACTACCATCTTTCATATGTAGATCAACCGAATCCTCATTTCGACAAGCTCGCACGGGCTTATCACTCTCTCGTTGCTTGGAACCCATTACTTTTTTCCTTTGATCAGCACTAAGTGAGCCAAATTTTTTTGACAACATCATTTCGTTTGCCACCAATGGGGACACAGTGGTCAATTTTGGCCACTGCTCAACATCAGTTAGCACTCTAGTTGGTGTGTTCCATGCATTAGGTGTTTGATGCTGCTTTGGTGATTGCTCAGGTGAGGCTTGCATTTCCACAGTCCAGCGAAACTGTGTTGTACCAAGATCACAATCACACTCAATTGAGCTATCCTCCGAATCTACGTCCCTCAATCCCCTCTTGTTTACATTTGAGGGCCCTTGCCACGGTCCCACAAAATCTCCAAGTGAAAGAGATTTGGGGGGGCCTCGAATGCGTGTAGACCGGCGGGGAAGTACATTAGGCATATCATCAGTAGATAGTTGATCCACCTGATTTACAAACTCCTTCAAAGATACCTTAGTCGAAGATTTGCTTTTTGATTTACTCTTGGCTAGTTTGCTCTTGGCTAGTTTGCCCTTCTTCAATGATAGCTTACTACCCTCTCTGTCCCTCTCATTGTCCTTCTCTTTCTCTTTCTCTTTCTCCTTAATCATCTTATGACAGCACAGTGACAAGGTTTCACTGGGGCATTTTGTCGAACAGGTAAAGGGCACTTCTGTGTTGTTCCTCTCTTTGTGATGCAAACAGGGGTATTTGGCCCAGCAGGATTTGATTTTACTCTCTATATATAGAAGATTCAACTCTGAAATTGGTACGAAACTCCCTGGAACTAGCCTCGAAGTTGTCTGGAACTTTCAGAGTTCACACACGAAAACAGGAAGAAGGTGAAAGATTTCTAAGAATTTCTGTTTTACTTTCCCATCCCACCATACCATTCTAGAGAGAGAGAGAATGGAGGAGGCGAGTCTCATGGTTTTGTTGTTATCTGCACTCGTACTACATTCAATCGCTGATGATGGAGATTTCGACGTTCGCCCAATTGAATCAGAGTGCAGATTCCATTCCAATAAATTGATCGTTTCTAATTTTTATTACTATTTATATTTTTTAGGCTATAAAATTAATCGGTCACCCGTTCCACTCCTGCTCCGCCCTCACCACCAATTCAATTTGTCTTGGCTGCAAATACAATACGGGACAATAGTAAGAGATTACAAACTCAACCCATGACTATCTCCAAACTCAATTTTTCTTTTTATTTTTTGGAAATAAATATTAAATACTATCCAAATTAAAAAGTGGACAAACATGTTGTTGGGGTTGAGTTCGGACTAAGCCGACACTATTTAATATGTTATTTCAGGTCCAGTTCAGCTTAGGCCAAGTTTGGCATCCTCAAAAAAATCTAAAAAGTCAAAAAGTTACTATTCTATTTAAGTCACATCATCTTATTTAAGTCACATCATCTCTCTATTACATCATTTCAAACCCAACCTATATCCAACCCATATTTCATAAAAAGTCAAAAAGTACACTTATTTAGGACATCCCAAACAACCCCTTAATATCATGTCTAATATAGCCATTTTAAACTCAATTTTAAAAATTAAAAAAAAAATGTCTAAATCCCATATAATTTTGTAAATTAAAGTGTTAGACATTTAAACCAAATAACAGTAAGTATAAGACACAAATCAAGATATAAAAGAGTTACGTGCTAATTTCGAAATGTTAGAAAATAAATTGCACATAGAGTAAAGTGTTGGGATTAAAATGAATTTTATCTCCCAAAAAATAACAAAAATGTCTAAAGATTATAACTTTAGTTCTAAATGAAAAGGGATAATCATACTGCCAAGAAAAGGAAAAAAAAATTAGAATGAAATTTATCCTTTAATTTGTTTATTTGTGATTTTTTAATGTTAGATTTTCTTATGCAATTAAATGTATAATTTGATAGAATTTGCATAATATTTGTAAATTCTCTACTATTGATTGAAATAATAACAATAATTAGCCATTTGAACCATGCGTTAGAAATTTTCTTTTATTATTGTTACCCAAATAAAAAAACTTTTAATTGAACGTGGCGCATAAAAAATTCTTATTGAGGTTACCAATTAGCTCATGGACCCATTGATCAAAAATATAAAAACAAAATAACTGGGATATTACAAACTTTTTACGAAGATTCATTTATTGATTAGTGATTTCTGTGTTGAGTTTTTTATTTTATTTTTTTAAATCAAAAACTAATATATAGTTTTAAAAAATCACTTATTAATATAATATTCTCTTTTATAAAACAGAAATAATGTTTTTAATTTTAAAATTATTTTTTATATTTATTTTTATCAAACTAGTTTCTGATTATTTTAAAGAAAAAAAACAATTCTTCAAGTACAAAAAAATGGGGGCTTTCAAATTTTACAATAATTCTTTAAACGATCTACTTAATACCAAAATTAACTCCCAATCCGCCAAACCCTAACCCTAACTCCACCCACCACCACCATCACCAACCCCTCCGCCACCCTCCCCCAGTCTTTTCCTCGAGGTCAAGGTCGATCTAACAAATTAGGGTTAGGACCGTTCTTTTCTACATAGAAAAGTTCCACCATGTAGAGAGAGACTATCATCTTTCATCTTTTTTCTTTTTTTTCAAGAATGGATAAATAAAAATACATAAGCCCGATTGATGTCTTCTTTTTAAAATTATCCCTCTCCCACCCTGAATATAGGAAGAGGACAATATTCTACAACTTAAAGAGTGTGTGATGAAGGGTCCCTGGCCCTGGTGGCGCAGACCCACTGCCTTGGTGTCTCGAGATCATCGCCTACAATGGTTGGTACATGCCAACTACCCTGCTCCGACTCCTGCATTTTACACCTCCATACATTCATTACATATTCACACAAAAATAAGATATAAAGAAGAATGCAGAAAGCCAATGATAAATCTCTAGGATTAGAAAGAGAGCGAATGATTGAAAAGCTCACCTGAATGATAATTGAATACGGTGGCGGCATGTGAAGCTTAGGTCTATGCGTTGACATTGACGTTGTCAACCGGACCTATCAATTATTTCCAGAGAAACACAAAAGAAATTTTATTTCTGAATTGTGCAAAATAATTTAGGCATTATGCATGATCAGTCAATCACGGGTAAATAGCCATACAACGTTCTTTAGTTTCCAAGCCAAACATGCTATAAGAGGTTTAAACATCTGAATCTGAATAGACTACAAACATGTAAAACCATAGGGCAGAATCATCTACTGCTTCATTCGCAATCAAAGCAACATCCAAATTAGTACGCCTCTCAACAAAAGCCCTTGATAAGTGGAAATAGTGTCACCCAAAACTATTCTCAATCTTCTTGACAAAACTTTAGTCAAAAAAAATTTTTACAAATTTTTTTTTTTTTTTTTTTAATGAGGAACCCCCTAACCACACCTTTTGGTGAGACCCAGGGTAAAACAATGTGCGACCATCCACTAGCCTCAAATATCGATCGAAGTAGGAATTTGTATCTTATCCAGCAATCAAACATGGCTACAATGATGCTTAATGTTTTAGTTTTTTTAAATCAGTAAATGCTTAATCTTTACATTAGTTTTCTCCAACACCAAAATCAAATGTTGACTCATATTATTGTATTAAAAATCATGAGAAGGATTTTTATTATGTCTCATATTGTGTTAAAATAAAAAAGAGTGTTATAACATAATATTAAGGCTAAGTTTGGCATCTTCAAAAAAAGCTAAAAAATCAAAAAGTCACTATCCTATTTAAGTCACATCATCTTATTTAAGTCACATCACCTCTCTACCACATCACTTCAAACACAATCCATATTTCATAAAAAGTCAAAAAGTACACTTATTTACAACATCTCAAACAACCCCTAAGTTATACTGCTGATTCAGAGTTGTGCCAAAAGACCAAATTGTCCATGAACGGATATAACTCATCAATCCCAACTCAAAACTAATCCTCAAAGCGAGGACTGAGAGAAAAGTGAGAAGAATATTTGGATATGACCAAAAATGGCGTTGAAACACATGAATGAATATGATACTGATACTATGTATAACTCAGTAAGAAGTAACGCTATATGATGTGAAGTACTATAGAGAGCGTAATAGCATTCAATATTCCTTATATGTAATACTGAGTAGCATAAAAATACAGCGATCTAGCAACATTGAAGTTGAACTTTGATACAGAACTATTTCATTATGAAAGAGCTAATTTAGGGGTTGTTTGGGGTGTCCTAAATAAGTGCACTTTTTGTCTTTTTAGACTAAAAAATTGAGGAAAAAAATATGGATGTTTGAGTAAACTTTGCTTTTTTATGGAAAAATGTGTATTAAAAAATTGTATAAATTATTGTGTAAAGAAAAATTAAGATTGAGAGTTGTGCAGCCGTAATTTTTGACTTTTGGTGAATAGTGACAACTTTTTAACTTTTTGAGTAACTTTTTGACTTTATGGCAACTTGCCAAACTTGGCCTTAGCAACGGAACACCATATTATTCAAATAAGAAGAGACAATACCTGATGTTTCTCTTTCCATCTTGGGAAAAAACTAGTCCCTAGCAATTGGAACAAGTGATCCCTCATCTCATCATTTGTCACCAGCAAACACTTACAACTAACTGCAGCAAATAACCAGTACCTGTAACATGGAGATGTGATATAAAGATTAATTTGGAAAGATAGTTCAATTTGCCTATGAATTTTTTTTTTTTTCTTTCTAAAATACAACTTAATAATCACTATAATTCTTAATAAAATTTAGAATGAAGTGCAGATTTATGCGAAGAATAACAAACTGTATTTTTTTAAAAATCTAAAAACTCTACTGAGTCTTATTTTCTTTCCTCTCTCTCTCTCTCTCTCTCTCTTTTTTTTTTTTTTGACAGTACTTTCTGAGTCAGAATTTGATTGATTTAATTGACTTGACCAGAATTAACTATAAGCCTAATCCAGTCTCTCAACAATTAAAATAGCAACTAGCACCAGGAATGGCACCAGCATAGTGATTGCTTGATTTTTCAAACTAGTATAGCCACAATTACCTGTAGACGAGTAATATTAATTCTTTTAAAAGAAAATGGCATTCAAAGCAGATTATAAGGCAGTTATCTCCAATATGCAAAAGCTTTTAAAACCAACTTCAGAAATGATCTTGTGTGGGTAATTTTCTTACCACACTGCCCGCCTAGTAATCAGCTGGAGAACACTGGCAGAATAGATGGCTATAGTAAACCTGTAACAGAAAGAAAAAGGCTCCGGCGGTTGCTCTTCCACCCGGGGGCACTCCGACGATCAAGTCAGTATATCTCTCAAAAATAATCAAGTGTTAAACTCACAAGCTTGAGTATAAAACTGTGTACCTTAGACCCATGGGGTGCCTCTCTTTTATAGTTTACTCAATCTAAGTCCTACTAGAAGCCTGACTTCTATGGACTCCAATTTAATACCTACTTTGGATTCTTCAAGAGATAAAGATAAACTCCCTAAGAGTTTTATCCTTATCTTGGCTAAGTCTCCTCTTTGTCCTAGAACTCTTGTCTCTTATCCGCTTATCTCGGATTCCGATATCTTCGGAGATAACCTCGGCCTTGCCGAGATCACCTCGGCGTCACGACCAGAATACGTGGCATCTCGGCTGACACGTCGGCGTCACCATGCCACGTGTTGGTACTCAGAAAATATATCCCCACAACTGCCCCCTAGGTTCTATTACCTCGGCAATCTGAGATGATGGAACCTATATCGATATTTCTTTCTGCATAGTGGTCCCCACAACTGCCCCCTAGGTTCTATTACCTCGGCAATCTGAGGTGATGGAACCTATATCGATATTTCTTTCTGCATAGTGGCTCAAAAACTGTTTGGCCGAAATAATTTATTTTCAAGCCGATGTGTTCTCTTTGGAGAACAAGAATCCAAATGAACTCCACCACGCGCATGAGCTGTCATGCACATCTAACCGTTCCTTTCACGTGCTTTGTCTTCATTGGCCCGTGTCTGCGACGCGCCTGAAAGCTGTCTTTCACTCGTCTGCGCCGTCTGACGTGCGCGTTGCTCCAGGCGTAATAAATGCCCTACTTTTGCCGTCGTTTCAAGTTTTTTTTTTTGATAAAACTTTTCTTTCCCTTTCCCTTTCTTCACTTTTTGCATTCTGATTTCTTGCTTTCTCTCTCTCTAAGCTTTCTGAAATCCACCATTGTTCTAACTCCAAGCTCTACAACCGTCTTCATTCCTCCATTTCAGCGAAGCGTTCGCCGTTCTACTCTGTCTGTAATCGTTGCCCTACCTTGGCGAATTTCATTCCGGCTCCATTTGTTCTGGTAAGATTCCGTTTCTCTTATTCTCAATTTCTTCTATGCGCTTTTGTTTACTTGCTGCCATTTTTGTTTTGTTCAAACCTTGGATTGTTCATCTGGATTTGTCCATTCATGATTTCACTTATCTCTTGAACACTTGCACTGTTTCAACACTTTTCTTGCCACGGTTCTTGACCTTTTACTTCTGTACCTTTTTCACTTTTGAGAATCATATCTCTGTTCTTGATTCTGAAATGTCATTCTTTGTTTCTTGTTTTCTGTTTTTACTTTCCAGATCTGTTCCTTTGATCTTGTTCTTCATAGTGCTTAGGCTTGGGATTTGTTTGTTGAACCTTTACTTTAGGGAAAACTTTACTTTTGAGAATCATACTCCTTTCTGAGACCTAGCCCGTTGACTTTAGGCCGACGTTATGGGTATGTGGAGACATCGGGTAAATACCCCAACAAAACTCGAATACTTTAGGCAGGAGTTCTCCATCCCAGCCAATGTTCACCTTAGGCTAGCTGGGGATGATGATTCCATCATGCCCACAGATCATACGATGCCCTTTCCTATTGTAGCCTTTACTGAATGTGGACTCCGGCTTCCACTCAATCCCCTCTTTCGCGAGGTTCTCCACTACTATAGGTTGAACCCTATGCAACTTACCATCAACTCTTATCGAGTGATTAATGGTATCATAGCCCTAACTAGGCAGGAAAATGTTAGGATTACCCTTGCCGATGTACAATACTGTTATACCATGTGCCCCTTAACCTGAAGGAAAGAGGTTACGCCTACTACCTCAAGACGAGGTCTACTGAATTCAAAATTGTAGCCGACCTCCCGGACTCCAACAAGGGAGCCGGAGATGACTTTGTCATTGTTTCGGGAAATTGGGAATTTGGTCCAGACGAAGATGTTCACCTCTACCCTCTTCCTCGAACAGTTAAAGAGGGCAAGGGTAAGAGCCCAGCATCAATACTTAGTTATTTCTAAGTCTTCAAAACTTTGTCTGTTTCTAATGTTTGTTTGTTTGTCCTGCAGATCTTCATCAGCCACCAAAAAACTTTCACCAATCGTACTTCCCAGGAAAAGATTTAAAGAAGCTTCTTGATCTTCCAATCCACAAGCGCAAAGCTCCACTATTACTAAACTTTATTCCGATATACAAATCCACGTTGCCCGACGTCCCGAAGAAAAAGAAGAAGAGCCTCTCTCCACCTACTGCCACAACTATAACCGCTTCTTCATCCCGAACAGATCAAGAGTCCACATCTGACCCAACCAATCAACCATCCACTTCGGCCCCATTCTTGATCCCAATACCAGAAAGAAAACGTCGGCGACGCCTTGTCAAAACTGCTGAAATGGGTCGCGCAAAACCAATTGCCCAAAATCTCCTAGCTGACCTCCCGATTGATGCTGATGCTGTACCAACCCAACCAATGCCCCCACCGAAGCCAAGAAGAATCAAGAAGGCCCAGCCTAAGGCCAAGGCTACTGAAGTTGAGGTTGAGGATACTTTGCCTATCTCAAAACTGGCTGAGAGTAAGAAGACTTCTTCTGCTCCTTCAAAAAGGTCTGCCGAGACCCAGCCCTCCGAGTCCACCCAATCAAAGAAGCCGAGGTCTGCCTGAGCTACTACTTCGGGGTCCAAGAAACCCGATGTCCCCTGGGCCCCAAAGTTGACTTTGGAGGATAGGCCAATTATGTCGACTGAGAGTGCCGACGACATTAATGTCGGTGTCGCCCTCAGTACTGCTCTTCTTCTTCCAAGCGATCTGGAGCGAAATGCTGGGTACAGCGAGTATGAGAATTATGCGTTAATGCTCCAACACTCCGTTCAAGTAAGTGTTTCCTGTTTTGTCTTTTTCTTTCTGTTGCACACTTAGAAGATTTTCTAACACTTCTGTCTTCTTTCAGGCCATCCAGCACGCCCATTCGTTTTCAATGCAATCTTTTGAAAATCGGCAAAGAGTGGCCGATATGAAGAGGGAGGTTTCTGCCCTCAAAAAGGAGAACAAAGCTATTCTGACAAAGATGAAGAAGCTGGAAGATCAGGCCGAGGCTGCCACTAAGGCCCAAAAGATGGCTGAAGAGAAAGCGGAGTCTGCTGAAGCCATAAAAAAAGTTGCCGAGGCCGAGAAAAAAGATGCCGAGGTAAAAAAGGCTCAAGCCGAAAAAGAGCTCGAGCAGGCCCTGGCCACTAAAAACGCCGAAATTACTGAAGCCGATGAAAAAGCTTACGCCCAAGGAATGGCCGATGTCACTGAGGAATACAAACTTCAAGTTAAGCAGGCATGCAACAGGGGCTTTTCCCTTGGTTGGATGGCCCTTGCCAAAAAACTCAACATCCCAGATGACTCACCGTTGTGCAAGGCTGAAGCTATTCCTCTTCGATTTCCTCCTCTTCCACCTCCAAGTCAGGCTGAAGAAGAATCTGAGTCTGAGTCTGAAGCTGAAGATGAGGATAAGGATGACGGTGATGCTCTAGTAAGGAAGCCCAAGCACGCTGATGAGATCCAATCTCTTCCTCAAGATGATCAAATCCTAGACCTGACTCATGAAGAGGATGAGGAGGTTATTAAGGAGGCAACTCCTGAACAAGCATCATCCGACGTTCCTCCAGCCGAAAAAAATCTTGATGAAACGCTCGCAGAGATTGACGCCGAGATTGAAGCAGAAAAGATTGCCGAAGAGGTTCCACCAGAATCTTCCGAGGTCCCAGCTCCTCCAGCTGTTAATGCTGAAGAATCCTGATTTAAATGTCTTTATTTCCTTGCCTATGTACTCTGGTTTGTTTTCTGAACAATGTAAACTTCCTTTTATGGCCGATGTGCCTTCCTTTATATATAACTGCAATTGTTTTTTTTATGGATGCTTCAATCTTTTAATTTCTTTTTGATTTGCTTCTGCATGGTTGTATGCCTTCTATATTTTGCCACCTTTGTGCAATCTCCTCGGGGTTACATACCTCGGGTATAATAACATCAAACTTTATTTCGGCAAGATTCAGACCTGAAAAACTTTTGATAAATTTCAACAAGTGTTTAACATATACAATTCAATGTTAATTCTGTAAGTTTCTTCTCAAGTTTCAAGAAGTATGTAAACAGTGATTTTGGTCTAACCTACTTGTAAATTGCTACAAATTTCAACAAGTGTTAACATATACTGTAAACTGTTCTCAAGTTATAACAAGTATTAAATAATGGTCTACTTGTAAATTGCTGCAAATTTCAACAAGTTTGTTTGAACAATATACTTAGCTTTTACTTCAACCTGTAAATTGCTGTAAATTTCGACGGATGATCACACGTCGGCTTAACATTATCTTGT